GCGGCTTCTTCCCTGATGATCGAGTGGGTTAGTGGCTATTCCGTCGTTCGCTGTGATCCTAGGTGAAGGAGTAGCCGACTTCGTGAAAAAGTCCTCGTGCACGCGGTTCGTCGGATAGGAGGATGCTCAGGCTCCGAGATAGTCGAGAGGTCAGCGAGACCGAAGTTCGCAATGGGAGTCAAGGTAAAACGTATTCGTTGCCAGTGAAACACTGACAAGCGGTGGAGGGATGCGGTCGCAGCAATGCTCAAAAGGAGAAACACGAGACCAGACCGAGCGAGCGAGGGACGTGGATGAGGGCCGGAACAAATGTCGGGTCGTGTCGAGTCGGGAGATAGGCTGGAAGGGATCTGGAATGGAAGGAAAGCTTTAGTGAGGATGATGGTCTGGGCAGGAAAGGGACACGCTGCCAGGGCGCTAGAGGAGAAAGGGGGGGCCAGCTAAGGGGCACAAAACCGGGGAGCACCACATGCCTCTGCACTGTTTGACGCACTGTATTTGACGACTGTCTAGCGCCTTCTGAGGTCGCTGGAAGCAGCTGGGCACGCTCTTCTCAGCAGAAGCTCGTGTGTCACAAGCACTGTGAGCACGACTATCCCCCCCCACAAGATGCGACTGATCGCAACGCCGGCCTCAAATTGAAGTGGTGATACAGGCAGCATTGTGGCGCAGGCGATGACGATGAATTTGACTGACGAAGCCAGACCCCATCGTTATCAGCCTCCAGCCTGTCCAGAAACTTTGATGCAAGGCAAAGTATTGATGCAAGGCAACATGTGAGAGATGCCATGCTTTCTAGCCAGAGGGTGAAAATGCCAAGAAGGGAGGCGCAACCAACATGCTCATGGACCGCCGCCAATCTCTTGTTCTTCATGATGTGAAGACGTTACATACATGTGCTCCATTGTAACTTCACCGGACTTAAGGTGCCCTGCATCGGGGCCTACTTTCTCCAAACCCGATCCGACGGCGCCGTAGTTTGTGCCAAATTCCCATCGAACATGACACTCTTCATTATTGGCATAAGCGACGTTCGTCATCGAGAGGACTACACCATGGCAACTCGACATGAGGTTTCGAAAGACTGATCAGGTTGGAGGTCTCTGGTCAGCTCAGAGAAGAAGCTGGTGCGCAATCTTCTCGAGTCTGGCGCATGAAGCGGACGAGGCCTACTCCAGAATGGCTTCAGCATCGTCAATGACTTGCCCATCTACTCCACCATCGAGGACGACGACGACGAATCGTCTCGGAGTGTTAAGCTGCTGAACCGCTGCTGGATCGAGATGACGGCACGGCTCATGACTCGCAGGGTGATCCCCCGCTCTGGTGTTCTGGTATAAAAGACCACCTTGACCGATGTAGCTCAAGATGCGAAAGAAAGACGCGCAAAGAACACACCCTGCCACATCCAGACATCTGCTTTCTAGATGTATCGTCAGCGGCACATCCAGTTGACGATGGTTTTCTACCTACCCGCCTTCGTACTTGACACAAAGCTAAGGTATCAGATGTGCTGAGCCTCACGCGTCCCATCAGATGAGACCTCCCTCAAATCAACCATGAAATTCTCTAGATTCCTCGATAGTCTTGCCTAGGGAGTTCGTAAGGAGACATGCTGTCCAGAAGATGGTCATCCCTCGTCCTGTTGCGCATCTCAAGGGGGGATTGTACGGCTCTGGGTTGCCATCCCTCTGAGGCTCCCTGCGATCCTAGGAACAACGTTCGTTCGCACGGGCCGACGCGTCTTGCCAAGGACGAAAGCAAGCGAGGCCACCCCACTACCACCACCACTTCACAGGGGAGACGGAACATGTTACCGTGCTAGCCTCCTCCATCTCTGGAATGCCAGTTGTGTAATATGGACATGTACGCCACCCCTTGTCAGACCCCTATTCTGGACCTCCATGATCTGCCATTGATTGGATTAACTTCATCATCGCTAAACCACCAATAACCGACGTCCCTCGCCATCGTGTCGGTCTCAGATGGCAGCAAACTTCCGGAAAGAAGAAGCAAGCAAACACAATCTTCGAACTACCATTTCACACCACAGCAAGGAACAAACCAGCAGCTAGGCACAGCCGCTCACAGAAGAGAACCCGCAGACCTACCAGATCCGTTTCCATCGCGACCGCTGATGAAAACGTACAAGCGCCGCAAACCACAACAGAGGCCGTTTCTTCTTGCCGCCTGCTTTAAGATGAAGGGAATCTCCCTATTCTGCACGTCATCATCCAATCCGTGGCGGTACCTGACGCCCCCTGCACCTTGACGAGCCCAATATTCGCCTCCACGACTGATGCTACCCTCCCCGCCCCAGCCCAAGGAGACAGACGCCCACGCAGCCGGGCCCCCTTATTTGCTTTTCCCTGGTCTCTTTTTTAGAGTTGTAAATCTCGTGTAGGCTGCAGTCATCTTGCAGCGGTTAGAGCTTCGATCGAGACGCCACCCCCTTCTCTTGCATGCAAGTCGCCTCGCGGGGACTGCACGCCTTGCCTGGGGTACATGCCACTTCACAGGACCACGCCCTTGGCGTCGTGACGAGGCTAGGGTCAACCTTTAGGAGACATACAGAAGCTGGCACTCCGTGGATGCAGATTGAGATACACTGTCGTCCAGTGTCGATATCAGACTACGTTGAAAACACAAGGGTAACGAAAATGCTGTGTAGCAACAATGTGAATTAAAGTGACGAACCAATGACTCCAAATTGCTTCACCGTGGTAGTCAGAGCTATCAGGTGAGCTAAATGCAATCCAATGTACTAAATGACAGGTCCAGGCGCATCTCGAAGGTGCACCACTCGCAATGCCCTCGCGTAATGTTATCGAACATGCTGAACAAGAGCAATAAAAACAATAGATCAAGTGCCAAAAAGGGTACTTGCAGAAGCGAAGCCTTTGTAAGGGGTATACAAAAATAGCCGAGCTCGACAAGAACAAAAGTCCGCTCAGGACGGGGTATAGAAATTCAATAAAAAAAATATCCACAAAACACCGCTGACTAAATGCGCAGGTGGAGAGAGAAATGTCATGCTCGTTAAATGCTCGGTGTTGTGTGCAGAAAGCCAAATCGTGAAATCGTCCATCCTCTGATACGGGTCGGATGTGTTGATAAGTGAGCCTTGGGAGGCTCAGACCTCGGTCTGGCTGCAACTCGACGTGGACTATGAGTTGTTGTGATGGTGGAGAGACTGAGTTCACATCATGCCGAGTCTCGTCATGCGCTTGTTCATCCGAGGCATTGGAGCAAGATTGGCCCCCGGCGCAAGACGCTGGCCACGAGGCAGCCCGATGGCCGGTCGTGGGCCGCCCCTGCCAGGACCGCCTGGTCCCATGGGAGGGCCCATCTTGGATCCCATTCCGGGACCCATGGGGGGCGGGCCGCCGCGTCTTGCGCCAGGCGGGCCCTGAGGACCGGGCGATCGAGCCATGCCGCGCGGAGGGCCGTCCGGCTGCTGTACTCGTTTCCAGGCATCCCGCTCGCAGAATGCTCTGCCGTCGACTTCGAAGTAGCCGTTGAGAGGACATGCCGCAGTCGCGCAGCGAAACAGCCGACATGGTACTGATCGATTCTTCGTC